TAGCCTGCATGCCTTCGCTCTTAATAGTCTCAAGTTGACACCAGGTTGTGTGACTGCCATACTACTTCAGCATGGGGGGAGACAAACACCTGCACACACAGCTGCTGAAAGCCCATTGGAGCACAGCTGTACGGACCCACGGAGTCACAGTGAGTCTATGTTGGTGCAGTGACAGGTAATGCATTGATGTTTGCTACTTAACTACATATCTACACACCTGCGCAATTAAATTATATAGAAAGTTCTACAGACAGACTCCTGTTTCAGACATACTCCTTCTGTTTTAAGTTACGGCGTAGTTTTCTACCTTGTTATAGGCATTTCTCTGAGGGCCTCGGGTGAGCCTGCCGGACTGTGCTTGTTCACATATAGTTCCTGCAGATGAAAAGGAAAGATTGACTAAGCCGTGTAAAGGCTCCTAAAAATGTAGACATCACACATGAAGCTCCCTGGCAGGAGTCCTGCCTGCACGCCAGCGCTGTTTCTCTTGCGGTGAGCAGATGGCTCCGGGCCACATATCTGCCCCAGGGACAGTCCTTCCTTTCAGTTGCTGCTCCCTGTCCTTCCGCTGTTTGACCTTGGTGTGATAACAACTAGCATCCCTCCCTGGTGATTGTGTGGTTACACACTGGGCTGCTAACCACAGGGTCGGAAGTTCAAAACCACTAGCCACTCCACAGAATAAAAATGGGAGGTTCTACTCCCATAAAGAGTTACCGTCTTGGAAACTCACAGGGCAGTTCTACCCTGTCTTATCGGATCACTTTGAATTGATATCAACTTGATGGCAGTGACCTTATTTCCTTTGTTTGTTTTTTAGGATAACACTTGTTCCTACCTACCATTCCCTAAAGTCCCTGCCTCCCAGAAGTTAGGCCATCCGCTTGGGGGCACATCGGCCCATACCTGGGCAGCGCCTGGGAGAGGTGGGAGGTAGGGTGTGTCAGGGCCGCCACAGGAGGTAGGATGGAGCACTCATCTGGAAGCACTGCTGAAGCCCACGCAGCTGGACCCCTGCTTCCCACCTGGCACAATGTTCTGGGAAGCACCTTCAGGTGGCAAGAGTCCTGGATGAGCCTAGGGCTGACAGGAGATGAGCCTGGACTGTCCATCCACCAGAGCTCACCTCCTTCCTCCTCAGCCTGAGTCCCATTCCCTCAGAGATGCTCACCTCCCCAAGTCTGGAAAACTTTAAAGGTCTGTCTTTTGTGCATTTGTGCTGCAATAGGAGACTGACTAACATGAGGCAGATTTATGTAAGTATGTGTCCATATCAGGAGCCCTGGTGGCATAGTGGTTACGTGGTGGGCTGATCGCACCACAAGATCTCCGTTGGAAGCCACCAGTGGCTCCTCGGGAGAAAGACGGGACTTTCTACTCCTGAAAGAGCGACAGCCGTGGTTCTCCACCGTCCTGATGCCGTGCCGTCCATACAGGTCCTCATGTGGTGGTGACCCCCCAACCAGAAATTGATTTTCGTTGCTACTTCATCACTGTCCTTTTGTTACTGTTAGGAATCGGGTGACCCCTGTGAAAGGTTCGTTCAATCCCCAAAGGGGTTGTGACCCACAGGTTGAGAACCCTTAAGTTCTAGGTAAGACGAAAGGTCACAGTCTCAGAACCTCATCGAGGCAGTTCTACCCTGTCCTGTAGGGTCTCGCCGACTCCGTGGCAGTGAGATGTGTACTTTACCAATAAGACGTGACCTTTCCCACGTGTCACCTCTTTGGAGAAAAAGGGGTGTCTGCTGAACATCACATTGTGATCAATGAACCCAACCAGGCGACCAAAATATAAACGCTGAGAGGGAACACCGAGCAGCTCTGATGCCAGGCGCTGGGGTAGCTGGCACAGGGTGTTTGGGGCACACGCCTAGGTGTGGTTCAACAGGCCCTTGCCACTGTGGAGTGACCCTGGAGCTAATTTGCCAGGACTACAAGTTCCCCAGGAGGGCAGAGCAGAGAGAGGCTGGGATGTTCGGGAAGAGAAGCATATTTGTTGTGTTGGCAGCTGACGTGTGTGGAGTGTGGCAATGGAGGAAGGCTGGCAGGGGGTGGTGAAAGGCAGCACAGACCATAAAGGGCCCTGGCTAGGCCAGGAAGGGCACAGGAGGGACTGTGAGCTGGTGAGCGAGACAATGGGAGGACTGGGGAAGGAAGCCAGGCCGGGCGCTGCTCTGAGTTGGTGGAGGAGGGAAGGGTGGTGACGGATCGGCCTGCAGAAGGGAGCAGGTTGGTGGCCTGTCCTTACAGGAAAAGTGGCAGCACCGATTGTCTTGGGGAGCAGAGTCAGTTGGGGAGAATTGTGGGAAACGGGGTGATGGGCGACTGCAGTAGTCTGTGGCCGAGTCCAGATCCAATGGAGGAGGGTGAGGAGGAGGAGTGAGGAAGCTCGGCCCTTAGCTGGATGTACAGGGCAGGGCCTGTTGTGCATGGGGTCTGGGAAGTGAATGTCGACGGCCCACGAGTGACCCAAGGAAGAGAGACGTCTGCACAAGGCATTTCAGTGCGGTCATAGCTGGAGTTAGCGGGTTGACTTTAAGAATATTTGATTCTCAAGCCCAGCGGGTGTGGCAGATTGTAGGACCCCACTTCTCAAATAAGCAAACAGACTCAGGTTTAGTAATTTGCCTAAGTTCACACAGCATAACTGGAACTTGCCTTTGGTCTGTCTGATTTTCCAGACGTGGGTATGGGACAGCTCTGTTTTCAATCGCCTGCCAGTTGGGGTTGATCAGCACGCCATGTTTCGCATGTAGGCGAATAATCATTAATTGTGAGGCTGTAAAACTCTTTGTAGTGTCACTGAAGGCAGGGGACGTCACGATGGTGAGATTCGTCTCATGTACTTTGGACACATTATCTGGAGAGACCGGTGCTTGGAGAAGGGGGTCATGGTGAAGGAAGGGGGTCCATGAAAAAGAAGGTGACCCTCGCATTGAGGCAGAATGGCTGCGACAGACCCAGGATTTGTCACCTCCTGCGGTCGCTCTGAATGGAACTTACTTGACAACACCTAACAGCATAACAGTAAACACAGGGACAGCATGACTTGGAAAGTTTTCATTCCTTGTCAGCATTTGTTTACATTGTCAATCATCCCTCCCCCGTCCCCCGACTCCCCTTTTCTTAGAATTCGATATGTGTTTATTTGGAAACGTTCAGTGATTTTTAAATTTTTAATTATAAATCTCGTGAGAAAATCAGCCTCCCTGGGTCTTGGAGGAAACGTAATCAAGGGGACCGCAGCATCGGACCCCCCATTGCCCGTGGGGATGTGGAGGCGAAGAGACCCATTCTGTGTGCTCCTCAGCCCTTTAATTTGGAACACGAAGGGCCATACGAATAAACTAGGAGCCACGATCCTTGCATTTAGCAGGGAGCTGTTTCGTGACTTACAGACGTGTTGCTCAGCTAAGTGCTAGCCTCGAGGTGAGAGGTTGGTGGAGTCCAAGTGCCTCTGGCACGGTCCTGGCAAGAATCCAGCCAGGCTTCTTGCTCTGATTAAGGACCCAGCTTAGGGCCCCACTGAGCTGCAGCCTGCACTCCCATTACCCTTCCATCTGCCCCGAGAGCTCGGAGCTATTCATGCCCCCAGAACCACTTAGCTGCAAACTGTCCCTGTCTGGGTTGATTTGAGCCGAACCCTGAAAAGGGCTGGCAGGCACCAGGCAGCAGATGGGAGCTGCACTGGGGGAAAGGATTTCGGCAAGCTTCTCTCACCGGGCTCCTGGGGGGGCCGGGGGTGGGGGCGGAGAGCAGCAGGGCCAGGCAGAGTCGTGGCCTGGCTCACCAGAGGATGCCCCTGCCTCCATTGTATGGCAGTGGATGTGGCTCCAGCTCCAAGGGTGTGGGTGCCCTGATGGCACAAGGCATTGGAGCAGGATGCAGGGCCACCCCTCCCACCCCAGACTGAGAGACTCCTGGCTTCTTCGGCCAAGTCCAGGAGCCTGCATGTCCAGCCCTCCGTGCCCCTGCCAGCATGGGTGATGGGTGGTCCTTTTTAGCTCATGATATGCATGAAGGTCCTGGTCCCATTTAGTTTTGACCTTGGCTCTTGGTGGGGAGAGCTCAGGGCAGTCCCAGGCACAGATTTGGGGGCTGAAACTGGGGGTGTTTAGTGCTCTGCCTCTCCACCCATTGACTGGCGTCTGCTTGCCGGATCCCCTTGGGGTGGCACGTTGCTAGTCCCTGTCCATTTTGCAAGAGCGAGAGCCGTTGTTTGGCTGTCTGGTCATAGCAGTAGGTCTCTCTGAGAACTGGAGGGTTAGGGGGCACTTTGAGGGTCATCCAGCTCCTAGTCAGTCACTACTGCCTTAAGTCGTGAAGCCGCTACCAGCCAACATCAAGGAATTAGACTCCCGATTCGTTCATGTTACCCTTCCTAGGCTTGTTTGATATTTTCATTGTTTCATAATCCCGAAGGAAATTGGAGGGTCCCTGGGTGCTGGTTCGGCGGTAGAATTCTCATTTTTCATGGAGAGCAGGCTCGGTTCCCAGCTAGTTTACCGCCTGTGCAGCGACTGCCTGTCAGTCAGTGGAGGCTTGTGTGCTGTTGGGTGCTAGACAGGTTTCCGTGGAGCTTCCAGAGCAAGGTAGGCTCGGAAGAAAGGCCTGGAGAGCGAATTCCCCAAATCAGCCAGCGAGCTCACAACTGAGCATGGGATGGCTTGCTGGGCCGGGCAGCGTGGCGTCCCCAGGTGGTGGGCTGTCACGAGTCAAGGGCCAGCTGGGTCACCACAAACCACGAAGACGGTGAAAAGGTGGCCTGTGTGGGCCCAGTAGATATTTGAAGCCTTTGCTTTGGGTTGGAGTTAAGCCAACGGAATGATCAAGGGGTGGGATGGGCTCTGTAGGGGTTGTAGGTTTTGCTTAATAGAAAAGTGGGGGGTGTAATTGAAAAAGTAATAATAACGCTCAAAGTGAGATTTTCACCAAACAAAAAGCTCAGCCTGTTAGTCCACAAATTAAAGTCTTAAGAAATCGACTTCTTCACGGTCCTAGAGCGTGTCTGTGAGTGTCATCATCTGGCTTCACCGCTTGGTGGTCTTTGGGTCCCGGTGGAGGACGCTGGAGTGTATGGAACCAGGCTGCCTGGGTCCAAATCCTGGTTCCACCCCAAGGAGATTGAGCCGGTTATGCCTGCCCTCCTGAAGCCTCCCTCTCTTCATCGTAAGAAACCGTCGCGCGGATCACATATTGAGAAAGAAAGAGCCTATAAGGTACGTGCGGGTATTTTGCCCAGAGCTTGCTTGCTCTATAGAGCAGTTGTTCAGTGTTTGTGGTACTTAAGATAACGCCCTGCCTCTCCTACATCACATGGAAACTTTTTTGTGGGTTACAATGTAGAAATATGAAGCGTTGTAAGATGATGGGTTTTAAAAGATTAACTTTTTTGTGGGTTACAATGTAGAAATATGAAGCTTTGTAAGATGATGGGTTTTAAAAGATTAACCAAGACTAGCCCCTGCTCCATTCCTTTTGTCCGAGCCCTGTGTTTGTGTCCAGACCCTCCCTCTGCTGTTGACCTGGGGTGCCGTGGGTACAGATGGGGGAAAGAGGAGGGTTTCCAGTGTGGGGTGCTGGCCACACTCACGAGCTCTATGTCTCGAGGTCACCCATCTGTGGAAAGGGAGAGGGAGTGGGAGCGGTGGTTAGAGTCTCTGGTGGGTCGGCTGCCAGAACATAAATAAGCAATACCTACGTGCTTATTAAAACAAAGCATGTGTATTTGCTTCAAGCTCAGGGAAATATGGAATTAATAGGATTTCCCCACGAGTGTGTTGCCCTCTCATATTTTACTATTTTAGGAATCTGTAGGAGCACCGGGAGGATCCGTGGTGGCATCGTAGGTTCCAAGTTACACACTATCAGGTCAGCAGTTCATAACCACTCCAAGGAAGAAAGATTCACAGTTTCAGACACCCGCAAGGCAACAGTTCTCAACCTGTGGGTCGCGACCCTTTGGGGGGAGAGAGGAGGTCGAACGACCCTTTCACAAAGGTCGCCCAATTCATAACAATAGCAAAATGACAGTTATGAAGTAGCAACGGAAATAGTTTTTATGGTTGGGGGGGAGGGTCACCACAACATGAGGAACTGTATGAAAGGTTGCGGCATCAGGGAGGTTTGCTGTGAGTTGGCACAGTGGGCTTTCTGATGATGGGGACAGGGACTTGAGGAGGTTGTAGGAATGGTCTAGGCATGGCTCTTGTAACAGCTTCTGTGTGATGGTTAGGCTTTCTGCACCAACATGGTTCCTATAGGAACATGTGGGTGGAGCTTAGACTGTCAGTCAGGTTGCATCTTGATTGGAGGGCCACCAAGATAAATGGCTTTCTGAGGCCAGCCTTCCTTTCACTTTCTTCCTGGTAATTGGACCACAGTGCGTTTATATAGAGAGAAGGAAGACAACAGTTAATTAGCCCACACAGCAGTACAGAGGGCTCAGTTCAACTCACTTTGGTGGAACAGTTAATATACTGAAGGTCCTTCAACTCAGCTCTGGCTGTTGGTCCAAGGCCAGGGAAGCCTATAGGGGAATTTGCCCTCAGGCAAGACAAGCAGAGTCTGCCCACAGACAGCAGACACCAGGTGGGGTGTAGCAGAGGCCCTAGCAACACACCCATCCTCGGGTTGGCTTGGCCCACAGGTAACCTAACTATCACCTTCTGCTTTACCACTGCAGGGGTTGAACACAACTGTGTGTGTGTGTGTGTGTGTGTGTGTGTCACCCCTGGCAGTGTAGGTAGAGCCTACTCCAAATGAAAGATGGAATGGCAGCCCTGGAGTGGTTTTAATTGTTGGGAGTTAAACCATTGTGCTGTTCAAAATCAAAACTCACCCTCCCACCCCCCTCATCCAGTTGATTTGGACTATTAGTGACCTGATACAGGGTAGAACTGCTTCTGTGGGTTCCCGACACTGTAACTCATTATAGAAGTAGAAAGCAGCTGGTTTCAAACCGTTGACCTTGCAGTTAGCCCAATGCCTAACCACTAGGGCTCCTTAATGTTAAAAAAGCAGCCACCTTGATGGAAGCAGTTTGGTTTTGTGTGGTATCTTACCTAGCTTTTCACATGGCTTAAAGACATAGCATTTATTCTATTTCTGTAGTCCATTTTCACCCAATACCCAACTATATATTTTTGGGTTTCTACATTGTCTTTCTGAAGAACATCATTGCAAAGTAAAGAAAGAAGTTGTTTTCTTTAAACAGAATTAACTGGAGTGTTTTTAGAGATTTCACAGCTGTCGTGTTCCTGAGCACAAGGTAGAAAAGCTAAGGTCATCATTTTCTGTTGGCACGTGAGATTTCCCCTTACTTTTGCTGCTCACTCTGAAGCACGTTTGTTTCACAGTGAGCGTTTTATAACATCTTCCCCAGCGTTGAACTAACTTTTCTTCCTCAAATTCTTTTTAAGTAATGTCACTTCCTGCTCAGAAAAAGGACACAGAATCCTTTTATACAAGCAATGGGAAAAGTCACTCAATCCGAGAGCCTTTTCCCACGGATGTTTTTATGGGGGTTATCGCTTCTCTCCTTTCTTGAACCTCGGTTTGCTGTAACTGCCTGACAAAAACATGGTTGTCGTGCGAGAAAAACATGGTCGTTGTGCGAGGATCGAGGATCGGAGCCCAAGCCACAAGAGAAGGGTGACATTTAAATTTGATGTGATGTAAAAAAAAAAAAGAAAAGTTGATGCCATGTAGACTTGGGCTTCTTGGTTTCTTTGTCCTAGTATAAAGGAAATACCCTTTGGCAAATAATGATGCGCGCATCCCTGACCACCGGGCGGTTGGACTTTGGGCTCATTATCAAGAAGGGCTGGTCTGTGCTCTGAAGTAAGATGCGAATGTCTGCACACTTCTTTTTCCTCTTTGCAAATACAGCTACAGCTCAAATGCCCATGGACCCCATGCCTTGTATGTACACTTCCAGACTTGAGACAGCACAGGAAATGTCACCGTTCATCAGCACCAGGTTATGAGAACCTTGCAGGAAAAGGCCGAGTGTGAAGAGCCCTGGCGTGGCATCCAGAAATTCAGACTCCTCTCGGCCAGGACACTTCAATCTCTGAGCTTTCTTTTTCCGACCGGTCCATTGGCACCCCTCAGTTCCCTTAGGGCGCAGTAGTGAGGAGTAACGAGAGGTGCTTTGCAGACTGAACCCTTGAGCAGACAGGTGAGGATGGGAGAGTGGAGTTCCTTAGAGAACCGCTGGACTCTGACCGAGGGAGGCCCAGCAGGGTCTTGGCTGTGACCCAGGAAGTAAAGTCTGAAGCAGGGGTCATTGCAGGTGCCGTCTCGGTCAGCAAGTCTAGTGCATTTCCCTCCTGAAGGAGGGTTGGTGTTTTCCTTGATGGAAGCACCAAACGGTTAAAACTGGCCTCCAGATGTCCCTGGCACCCTCCGATCGATCACCTGCATGCGTTAGCTGGAGATGCTTTGGGTAGAGTTGACCTTGTGTCATTCATTTCCTGGGAGAATTAACTCTAGAAGTTCACCACCTGCTCCGTCAAATACTGTGTCCCTCCCCCCTTTTTTCATGCTTAAGCTGCCCCCTGTATCCTAGAAGTTTCAGAAATAGTTTATTGGTATCTAAAGTCATTTTCTGGCTTGAAAATCTCTGTCAACTAAGCTAATTGTAGTGTGTCCTGTTAGTGTGCTAGCCTTTTGCTGGTCTAATTTCTATTTAATTAAAAAAAAATCATTTTATTGGGGGTTCGTACAATTCTGATCGCAATCCATACATCCATCCATTGTGTTGAGCACATTTGTACATTTGTTGCCATCATAGTTTTCAAAATTTTAGCTTTCTACTTCAGTCCTTAACTTTTAAGAATAATTGTAGACATCATTCCCTTATAGCAGAGGTTCTCAACCTGGGGGTCTCCACCCCTTGAACGATCGTTTCATAGGGGTCACCGAAGACCATGGAAAACACATATTTCTGGTGGTCTTAGGAACCGGGACACTGCTCCTCTGTCCGTCTCCAGGCAGGTCTGCCCACATGCAGATGTGCTGATCTGGTGAGAAAGAAGCTATCTCAACCTTCGCACTGATGTTGGCTTTTTACATGTACTGTCGCAAAATGTAGCAATGCAGTTGACTGTTGTTACATTAAGACTGTTACCCATGCTACACCATGCTTCAAGACAAAATTTCATTTGTAATTAGAAATATTTCAAAATATAGAATGACATTGTATTTTTGATTAATCACTATGCTTTAATTATGTTCAATTTGTAACAATGAAAAATGTAAATATCTGCATATTAGATATTTACATGATGATTCATAACGGTAGCAAAATTACGGTTATAAGTAGCAACGAAAATAATCTTATGGTTGGGGGGGGGGTCACCACAACATGAGGAACTGGATTAAAGGGTCGAGGCATTAGGAAGGTTTAGAACCACTGCCCTGTAGTCTACTCTGTTATTTAACTGCTTATTTTTATGGAATAATTTTATTTGCATATATTTCACATATCATACAATCCAATAGTTCAATCATGATCATAAGAATTGTACAATCATCTCCACAATCAATTTTAAGACATTCACTTCTTATGCTCATTATACTCATCAGCGGGCCCCCCCCCCCCCCCCCCCCATGAAACCATCAATGTAGCCACTGATTATAACTCCACCCATTCTGGGTTTCTTTTACAGAAAAAGATAGAAAACAAAATACAGAAAAACAGAACAACCACAGCCCTCTGCATGATAGCAAGGTTGTTCACGACCCTGGTCTGTGGTCAGAGGAGATTCACTGGAGGCTTAATCCATGTGTGGACCCTGCATATGGATTTTGGCTTCCACTGTCCTCCATAGCCTTCTGTGAATTGAGTGTTCACAGTGTAAGCTTGGAAACCATTCCCTCCTTCAGATTTGGACTTTATTATTTACAATCCTTGGATCACACAGGCTGGTGTGCGTCTTCCGGGTAGACTTGGTTGACACCTCACTCAAATGTCTGCATGTTTGAAGACTAGCCTTTAAGACCCTAGATGCTAGGCACCATCTAGTGTCTTTGCCACACTTTGCTAAAGCACCCCTATCTTCAGTGAGATCTTCATGAGGGTGATGCTTGCTGGTTTTGAGTATGGTTTTTCCCCCCGAGTAACCTTTCAGAATCCCTCTATTCATCTTTCTCATTCTCCTTGCTCTTTTTTTTTAAGTCATTTTATTGGGGGCTCATACAACTCTTATCACAATCCATACATCCATCCATTGTATGTCAAGCACATTTGTACATTTGTTGCCATCATCATTCTCAAAACATTTGCTTTCTACTTGAACCCTTGGTATCAGCTCCTCGTTTTTTTACCCCTCTCCCCGCCTCCCTCCCTCATGAACCCTTGATAATTTATAAATTATTATTTTGTCATATCTTACACTGCCCGACGTCTCCCTTCACCCACTTTTCTGTTGTCCGTCCCCCAGGGAGGAGGTTATATGTAGATCCTTGTAATTTCTACCCCACCTTCCCTCTACCCTCCAGTATCACCACTGATCCTGAAAGGATCATCCACCCTGGATTCCCTGTGTTTCCAGTTCTTATCTGTACCAGTGTACATCCTCTGGTCTAGCCGGATTTGTAAGGTAAATTGGGATCATGATAGTGGGGGAGGAAGCATTTAATTAGAGAAAATTTGTATGTTTCATCGTTGCTAGCCACTCCTTGTTCTTCTTCAGGCTTACCGTTGCTTGTAGTCTGGACTGTTCACTAGGAAAGCCCCAGAGCTAGAGATCAGTGGTACCGGGTCAAGTGTGACTTTTAAAAAATTGTTCTAATCTAGAGAAAATCATGTACTTTAAAAAATAAGAAATTGTTTTAAATCCTGAAGCCATTGCTCCACATCCCCCAAGGGCTTAAATGTATCTTCATATATTTTCTATAAAGATAATTGTTACTTTAACTGTATCAGATAACCCACATAAGTATATTTTAAGTGTCCTCTTCCCCCCCATGCAGGTTAGGCCCAATAGCAAAGAGCTTTAAGTTGCCATAGACGACTTTGAACTTGAGCCCAGGAAGAAGGTGGCAGAGATGTACGGGGCCTAGAGTTCTAGCAGACTCTTCAGACTTGCTTGGCTGACTTAGGTGGAGAGGGCAAACTTTAGGCTTAAGGTGTGGCCTGGGTGTGACTTGGGGCCCTTTAAGACTGTAACTGGGGAGTAAGAGAAAAAAATAGTCTCATGGTTTCTATTCATTCCTTCTTTGGAAGGAAATTTAAGAAGTCTCCACTTTCTTAGTAATTCATTCAGTGGTGAGAGGCGTGGAATTGGGAAAGAGAGGTGAGAAGGTCATGGGAGAACTGCTTCTTTGGGGTCAGCTAAGGGAATGTCGCGGAACTTCTCATTTTTCATATTTGTCTCTAGATGGGCCAGACGCCTTTTGTGGAGGGAGCACATGGGGTGGGCGGTTTGGGTTTTGGCCTCTGAAGCCTGCCCTGGTTTTTGTCTATGGTTGGGGCTGTTCGGCAGTGGGAAGCACCAGCGTTTGCTGGGAAGCGGTGGTAGGAATCCGGCTTTGCCTGCCAGTGCTCCCCCCAGTGACACTGAAAACATTCAGCAGAGTTTCCGACTAAGGCCCGCCGTGAAGGAAAGAAAGCCTGCACAGCTCATCGCCATAGTTCCCAGCTCTTGGTCCGCAGTCAGTCGAGGGGGTGGCCCAGGCCCTGGCAGCATTGGGTTCCGGTGTGCGTTGTGGGTGGAGTTCCCGTGAGTTTGGGACTGGACGACGACTAGGCGGATTTGATCTCATCAGCCTGTCCAAATGGTTAAGTTTTCACAGCGTGGCAGGTGCTCTTTTCAGCGGGGCTGTTTCCTAGAATACTGTAAATGCCTACAACCTCTTTTACTTGAAATTAAAAAAATAATACTTTTTTTTTAAAACTCAAAGCTTGATTGAAATGGTCACACAGCTTTGCTTTAGAGGCCAGAGCAGAGCGGCCACCACTGAACCTGGTGGCTTTGGGACTCCAGCTCAGTCCTTAAACAGCTACTGAACTTCTTTCAGTCTGTTCCCTCCGGTCTAAAATGGGACCCAAAGTAACAGAACCCCTGTTCTAGGCTTGGTGTGGACCCAGTACATTCGATTCTTTCTCGAGGACTCATCCCCAGCTGCGGAAGGAACTTGCTGGGAGCATCTGTGTGGCTCTTACAGAGCATCGATTTCACGCGTTTGGGAGACAAGCCTGTTGAGATGACTGCTCGGGGCAGGGCCCTCACGTCCCATATCGTCGGGAACCCAAGATTACTCCCTAGCGCAGCATTTCATCAAACGCTTGGCTCCTCTGTTACAGTCTGAAATCAGTTCTAGCCTTTTGATGTCTCACTGAAAGGTGGTTCGCGTTTCTCTCTCTCCCGTTTTGCGCCCCAATACCCGCTTTGAGCAATAATTGACGAACAGGGCACAGCCGAGGTCTCAAGCCTACAGCTTTCGTTCTGACCTGGTGTAGGAGGGGAGCTTGCAGGTAACACGTCCATTCTGTACCCCTCGCAGGGGGCGTCCACTCTCTGCAGTCAGACCCCTCCCGAGCGACTTCCTGGCCCGAGTCAGCTTGGTGCCTGCAGGGACTCTCATGGGAGTGGGGTGCACAGTTGACGCGTTCCGAACCAGCTGGGCAGTGTGCCTTTGACTCAAAGCCAGATGTTCTTGCTGGGAGCAATTAGTGGTTCATTTTACCGCCCCGTGAGGGTGCCATCGTGTGAATTTACCACGGCGGGTTCATCTGCTCTCCTGTTGGTGGGTGTCGGGTGCTTCTCGTTGTGGGGTGACCCTGGGTAACGCGCTCGTGTCGCTTTCATTTGATCCTTTTGACTCCCCGCTGTAGGTCGTGCCTCTTCCACTTCCTAGTCCCCCAACGCTGGCCGAGTGTCTTCAGCTTCCCACCGGGCCTCCCTCACTTGTAAAAATGGTGACTTGTGAAATCATTGCCGCTTGGGAGCAGCATCGTTTTTAAAAAAGGTGTAGACTGAAATGGTATGTCAGAGTGAGTTACGGGGAATGCCAGCCATCACAGGCTCCACTGGGTAGGCAGGTGTGCCTGTGTGCACTGGTTGACACCATGAAGCACAGTTGTTGATACGAATTGTGATCAGACTTGGTGAAGCACTGATTCGTGTGTGCCCAAGGAGGCCTGGTGGAGTAGTGGTTCTGTGTCAGGCTGCTAACCAGGTTAGAGGTTCAAACCCCCAGCCCGGTTCTACCCTGTTCTGCAGGGTCACTATGAGTCGGAATCGATTGGATGACAGGGAGTGTTTTGATCTGATAGGTGAGGCATGACTGTGCGGCGCTTCACTTATACCTGTGCCTTCGGGGTGTCTACAACAACCACAGGCACCCGCTAGCGGTCACGGTGTTCTTTGTGAACCGTGCTATAGAACCATACAGTCCTTGAAACCATCCCCCATAGTGGGCTATTCTCCCATTTCACAGATGGAGAAGCTAAGACACCAGTTAGGCAATTTGCCTGTGGCCCCAAAGCTAGAGGAGGTGTAGGGCCACCATTTGAACCTGTCCAAATCTCTGCTCTAAACCCTTCTTCCAGGAGAGAGACGGGCAAAGAGGCAAACGAAATCAATTCCAATGCCAATGCGTGCCACACGACTAACGTGATGCTTTCCTCTTGTGTCCTAGATATGAGACATGAGTGTTGGACGCCGAAGAATAAAGTTGCTGGGTATCCTGATGATGGTAAATGTCTTCATTTATCTGATTGTGGAGGTCTCCAAAAGCAGTAGCCAAGAGAAGAATGGGAAGGGCGAAGTCATAATACCCAAAGGAAAGTTCTGGAAGACTCCCAGCCCTCCCTCGGCATACTGGAACCGAGAGCAAGAGAAGCTCAGCCGGCACTACAACCCCATTCTGAGCATGTTGGCCAACCAGACAGGGGACGCGCACGGGGCTTCCAACACGAGCCATCTGCACTCTTGCGAGCCGGACCTGAGTGTCGCGTCCGTCGTGGCAGGTTTCAGCAATTTGCCAGACAGATTTAAGGACTTCCTGCTCTATCTGAGATGTCGGAATTACTCGCTGCTTATCGACCAGCCCACCAAGTGTGCAAAGAAACCCTTCTTGCTGCTGGCGATTAAGTCCCTCACCCCGCATTTCGCTCGAAGGCAAGCCATTCGGGAGTCTTGGGGCCGAGAAGCCAGGGTGGGGAACCAGACGGTGGTGCGCGTCTTCTTGCTGGGCCAGACGCCCCCCGAGGACAACCACCCCGACCTCTCAGACCTGCTGAAGTTTGAGAGCGAGAGGCACCAAGACATTCTTCTGTGGAGCTACCGGGACACGTTCTTCAACTTGTCCCTGAAGGAAGTTCTGTTCCTCCGGTGGGTGAGCACTTCCTGTCCGGACGCCGAGTTTGTCTTCAAGGGCGACGACGACGTCTTCGTGAACACCCACCACATCCTGAATTACTTGAATAGCCTCTCCAAGAACAAAGCCAAAGACTTGTTTATAGGCGATGTGATCCACAATGCTGGTCCCCATCGGGATAAGAAACTGAAGTACTACATCCCAGAAGTGGTTTACTCTGGCGTCTACCCCCCCTATGCGGGGGGCGGGGGGTTCCTCTACTCCGGCCGCCTGGCCCTGAGGCTGTACACGGTCACCGACCAGGTCCACCTCTACCCGATCGATGACGTGTACACCGGAATGTGCCTTCAGAGGCTCGGCCTCGTTCCGGAGAAGCACAAAGGCTTCAGGACATTTGACATCGAGGAGAAAAATAAGAATAATATCTGTTCCTATGTAGACCTGATGTTAGTACACAGTAGAAAACCCCAAGAGATGATTGATATTTGGTCTCAGTTACAAAATGCTCACTTAAAATGCTAAAACAGTAGCTCAGTTTTGCATAGGAAGACCTGTCTCCACTCGTCGTTCCCATGTGGTGTTCTCCCTTTAGGGTGATTTCTATGCGAAGCCATCAGAATTGCCTTTAGGTCTCCCTCTGAGGGCCTTGAACATGGCCCGCCACTTGGTACTGTTCTGGAGAGGGGAAGCAGAAGATAAGTTCTCACGGAGGTGCCAGTCCTTCTTGCTGTATTCATTTGTCTCTCCCACCCCCAGCCCCCCTTTCTCATCTGAAAGCCTGTGTTTCTGGGAGTTGACCATTTAAAGTTAATTTGGGTTTGCCCTTGTTGGATAGGCCTACTTTCCTTTTTACTGCTGGATGTATCTGTGACGCAGGTGTTTATCAATGGGTTGGGCCACAAAGGCTCTGTTATGCATCATTCGGTAGCTTCTGAGAAACAGAGTTAAATCGATCTTCACAAAATTTGGATGAATTTTTAAATCGTCTAGAAAAATTGACTTCTGTCAAGTCTAAAATGTCTTACCACCCCAGCAGTATTTTCTTGTGTCTCTCTAATCATGTCTGTTTTGCAAAATGATCACTCACCGTGTGACACTCGGGCATTTTTCTCTTGTTACGGTCTTAATTTGCAGAGAGAATTTGATTTTGAGTTCAGTTTGCTGGGTGGTATCATGATCATTCTCTACTTTTAGTATTTGCTGATAACGAGTATGATTCCATAATGGCCAACTGAAGAGTGAATTAATTGCCCCTGACAGCCAGATGGCGTTTGTAACATGAGAAAGTAGACCAGGAAAGCCGATGTAACCTTTGAGCTACAGGTGGGAAGAGTGAAGTTGGACCCCCTTTTCGCAAGTGGTGTGTCATTTAAAATCTCCAGGCTTCTATTCTTGCCATGTTTCCTTCCACGTGTTGCTTATACTATTCTGAATAGCGACTGCTTCCCTGTCTCGGTGTAGAAGTGCCTGTGTTTTTATTTATTGTTCAAATCAAAGACCAAAACATTTTCTTAAATATATTTTGTGTAATATTTTATTTGTATACAGTGTTGTTGAAGAAATATTTAACTAGAGCATGTTTTAAATGTTTCAGAAGGTGTAACATATGTTTGAATAAAGCTGTTATTTTTGAATTTTGAAATTTGTGTTTTTGGACTATGAATGACTAGAGTTGTAAAAATTCTGCCAAAGTGTTGCTTATACATACTATCTGGTAACATGCTGTCTTGAAATATTTTTATGTTTATAGAGATGAGAATTCTTATCAGATGCAATATACTTGGACTGTAAGAAGGTGGAAATAAAAATCACTGTGTATTTTTAATTGTCCAGTATAATGTGTGATTATCTCTGATCTTTTAGCACAAAAATTGTGACAGAATTTTCCCAGCACCCCCACCCCTGTACCATGGGGTTTGCAGTTTCTAAACGCAGGCCAGTTTCCCCCAGCCCCTAACCGTGAAACTAACATTGAGCTGTAGCTGTTTTTATCTCAGTGGGTCATCCTGTCTTTGCATTTAAAATTCGAAAACGTGCTTCCCAGTTTAGAGTCTTTAAAGAGAAATGTGAAGATTGCCTGCCACTCACTCACTCACTCACTCACTCACTCACTCACTCACTCACTCACTCTACCCTCCCTTCCTCTTTCTGAAGACTTCTTCTGAGCCATGCTCCCCTGGGGGCTTGAAGCCGTGCAGTCATGAAGACTTCGTCTCTCCTGTTGAGTTTTCTTTCATGGACAAACGTTGAGAAGAGGCAGCAAATGTCAAATTCAAAACAAGCAGGTAAACCTTTAAAAGTGGGATTACTGTTGTGGGAAATACATATCGGACTGCCCTCACCTACTGAAAATGTTGAGGGTCATATTCAGAGAGACTTGGAAAAGGTCGTAGGAGAAAGGAATTCAAAGATGAGGGGATTTGCCCCATGCACTTTTTTGAAACAAGTTGCCCCATGCACCTCTGAACAAGTTGAAGGGAGCACAGTGGCCCAGCTGTGACAGTTGTGTAGGCCCGGTGTCTCTGCAGGTCTCATATCGTCATCTGACCTTTCCACTCGAGTGGTTGCTAAAGATGGCTCGGAGGGCCTTGTTGGGTTGGAGGAAGAGTGAAGAAGCTCTGGGACACTACTTGCTCCCCAGCCCACATCCAGTCTCTCCGGTTTCACCACCAGCTGAGAACCTCACTCTCCGCCGTCCCTGCCTTACAGAACCAGAATCTACATTTGAATACCACCCCCCTAGGCCATCTCCTCTGTGAGAGCTTGTCAGAACGCAGGTTCTGATTCTGTGTCTCTGGGGTGGACATTCCAGTTCTCTAAAGGGGGTCAAACCGCAGTGAGCCCCTTGAAGGCTGGGCAGTGAGTTTGGATTTCCGTCGGAAGGCGGGAGTCCTGCAGACGGCGTTTCCGCTTCTCTTGCTCCTGGGTCTGTTCAGGAATGGTCACCCCACGCGGCCAGGCTGTGTTTTGAGTGTTGACAGCTGCTTTTTCCTGGACTGTTGCTGCTTGTGAAATGGGGCGCATTGGAGCTTTTTATTGTGTTCCAAGGGCTTAATTCTTTTTTTTTTTTAAATCATTTTATTAGGGGCTCATACAACTCTTATCACAATCCATACATACATCAGTTGTGTAAAGCGCATTTGGCTCATACAATTCTTATCACAATCCACACATACATTCATTGTGTCAAGCACATTTGCACATTTGTTGCCATCATCATTCTCAAAACATTTGCTTTCTACTTGAGCCCTTAATATCAGCTCCTCATTTTCCCCCCTCCCTCATGAACCCTTGATAATTTATGAATTATTATTTTGTCATATCTTACACTGACATCTCCCGTCACCTACTTTTCTGTTGTCCATCCCTTAGGGCGGAGATTATATGTAGATCCTTGTCATCGGTTCCCCCTTTCTACCCCACCTTCCCTCCACCCTCCCGGTATCGCCATTCTCACCACTGATCCTGAAGGGATCATCCGTCCTGGATTCCCTGTGTTTCCAGTTCCTATCTGTACCAGTGTACATCCTCTGGTCTAGTCGGATTTGTAAGGTAGAATTGGGATCATGATAGTGCGGGTGAGGGGTGGGGAGGAGGAGGCATTTAAGAACTAGAGGAAAGTTGAATGTTTCATCGTTGCTAGCCTGCCCCCTGACTGGCTCGTCTCCTCCTCGTGACCCTTCAGTAAGGGGGTGTCCTGTTGCCTACAGATGGGCTTTGGGTCTCCATCCTGCACTCACCCTCATTTACAATGATACGATTTTTTGTTGTTTGATGCCTGATACCTGATCCCTTCGACAGCTCGTGGTCATAGGCTGGTGTGCGACTTCCATGTCCACGGCTTATTTCACAGGCTTACGTTTGGGACCTGGTAGTTGAACAGAAATACTCATTTACAGGGTCACAGCGGCTGCTTTCCACCAAGGAGGGCTTTTCATCCTCTGTGGGCAATAAACTACAGGAAGAACTTTTGGCCAAAGGGTTCAACCACCGCCCTGAAAGCCTGCCTTCTTGGGACTCGCTGTTTACCAGCCAGTCCCCAACTAATGCTGTCTCCACCCAAGCCCCTTCTGAACCCCTGCTTCCCTTTCACTGAAATGTCGTCAACAACCCTGACTTCGGGCACCAGCTTTAACCACTTTTAAAAAAGAATATTTATACACACATCATTGCAGGTGGTTAGGGATTGAACCCCATACCCCCAAAATTGATATACTGTATATACTCGAGTATAAGCCAACAAGAATATCAGCCGAGGCACCTAATTTTACCACAAAAACTGCATTAAGAATGTGCTGAGGAAAAAAAAAAAAAAGAATGTGCTGGAAAAACTCAGCTTATACAGGAGTATATACGGTATTTTCCTCTGCCTTTGGATATGATCCTGTTTGGAAACAGGGTTTCTCTTCTTGTGCTATTATGGACATACTTTGTAGGGTGGAGACACACACACGATGTTTCATGTTTCGTACTTTGTAGGGTGGAGACACACACACACACACACACACTCTCTCTCTCTGTCTCTCTGTGTCTCTCTCTCTCTCTCACACACACAACAAAGCTCACCAGCAGCTACTAGAGGATGAGAGGGACAAAGACGACCTCCCCTTAGGGCAAGACCCTGAATCTGAACTGTGAGAAAACCAGTCTCCCTTCTGATTTGCCTCTTGTTCCGAAGCATTCCTGTTTAATCATGCCCAGGGGTTTGTTACACTGGTAATGAACTGGTCACCATAATTCTCATTGTCAAGAATGCCAGGTCATCCCTGGTTTTATGAATGAAGGACTAAATGTTCAAGTGCCTGAGAAGGGCTTGTTGTTCAGGGCCGCTTTCCACAAGTCCACGTGCTCGAATTGGAAGGCTGAGTGAGATCTGTGTGTGCTTATCCTGGGGCAGGCGGATCTCCTTTTAGGGTAGACTGCTCGTCCTTCCCTTCCTCTCTGGGTGTGCTCCGGGTACACGGCTCCGCTTCTCTCAACCTGAACGCCTCTGCTCCGTTTGGGGGCTAGTTCCTGGAAAGACAGAGGCTCCTGGACTCAGCCAACCAACTGTGTGCTTGTGAATGTGTATGGAGCTGAGTGTACCCAGCCCGCCAGACAGCCGTCTCTACTGTGTCCTCCAAGCTGGGAGCCAGGACTTAGCTCGCACGCCCCCTGCCCCGCTGTGTGAAACAGAAAGATTTCTCCCAAGTCATATCCCCCAAATATATGTTAGACTTGGGACGCTGCTTGCAGCTAATGGTAAATGATTGTCAAGTTACCTCCCTGAAGGCAGTCAGGGAGGGCCCACTCCCTGCTGTTAAGGACAATCGGTTAAGTAGTCTGGTCCCTGTAGGTGGGGTTTACACCCTACTGATAATGGTTTCTATGGAGATCCAGAGAACAGGTGACATCCAAAGTTAGGCTGCCATCCTGAATCTAGGCTACACCCTTGTCACATGTGTACCCCCAATCCCTCCTCTTCCTATTGCATGTATATCCCTAGATTGTCCCCCTCTCATTGCTGTATAACCTATAGTGCAACCCCTTCCTGTGACGTATGTCTTTACCTGTAATTAGTGGGCTTGCACTCCCCCCAAAGGTATATAGGCCTGGGTTAGCAATAAAGATCCCTTTGGCCTCTCCTTGGTTCCCCCTCTCCTCTCGGGTCCTCTCTCCCCTGTTCCCTTGCCCCTTGTCTTCCTTCCCCTCCCTCTCTTTCCTGCCCTCTCGTCTCTCCATGCGGACTACCAAGTGAGGCTGAGGTGAGCATGTTACTATGAAATGTGCCTGACTCCATTATTTCAATCTCTCTCCTATCTCTCATGCTCTCGATTACTTTATTATAATCTTTATATATGTCAACCGTACAATTGTGCCTATCGAACCCGCGATTAGTTGTGGGGGGCTGGCCTTTCCCCCACACCCCGCCCAGCCTTCTTCACGTTCTGAACTTTGAGCAATGTTTTCTGCTAAAGGTGTCCTTTTCCTTACCAGTGCTGTGCTGTCCTGTGCATCCCCATCTTTAAAATGTCCACTGGCGCCTGGTGGCATAGAGGTTATGCATTGGGCTGTCCACTGCAAGGTCAGCAGTTCGAAACCAACAGCCATGTGTTAGGTGAAAATCAAGACTTTCTACTCCTGTTAAAAGAGTTACCGTCTCTGAAACTCACAGAGACAGTTCGATCCTGACCTGTAGGGTCACTACGAGTTGGCATAACTGGATGGCAGCCAGCTTGGCTTTGAAGTTCACTTCATAAAGGAGCCCTAGTGGTGAAATTGGCAGCCCTGTTGCTAATCTCATGCTTGGTGTGAACCCACCAGGTGCTTTGCAGAAGAGAGACGTGACACTGCTTTTGTCAAGATTTAACGGTCTAGAGCAGCATTTCTCAACCTGTGGGTCATGACCCCTTCGGGGATCAAAGAACCCTTTCACAGGGGTCGCCCGGTGCATAACAGAAGCAAAATTCCAGTGATGAAGTAGCAATGAAAATAATTTTATGGTTGAGGGTCACCATGAGGAGCTGTATGAAAGGGTTGCGGCATGAGGAAGGTTGAGAACCACTGGTCTATAGGAGTGGAAACCCTTTCCACAGCAATGTGTTTGGATGTATTTCTGCCTGCTTGTACAAGGATTGCCCCGTGGCTCCTGGTCTCTGAATGCTCTTCCCTGTGGGCTAGAGGGTGTGAGTGCTATTGCCCCTCAGAACAAGGCATGGGCATTTGGGTCTAAGCCCAGCTCCCTTGTCGGGAGGGTTCGAGCACGTTCTCTTGTGCCTCTTCCTGGTGGTCTTCTGCCTGGTGGTCAGCTTCTGGGCATGCTTTCAGGGGTTACCCCTCACCATC